CAAAGTGATTGTAGTTTGCTCCATAGGTTTTGAAATAAACCAGTTAATAACCAATTTCAAATGTACCGAAAAGTGTTTTTTCAGCTATTGACGGTTATTCCAAAATCTATGGAAGGAACTACAATAACTTTGATGTCATTTGGAAGATAATTTAATTCTCTACAACTTTTGTTTCGGTACTTTTTGTTAGAAGACGCATACTTTCCCTGATATTTGTAAAAATGTAAAAAATAACCGTGATTTCAGAGGTTTTTGGGGGCTAACTCTTTAAGGAAGCATTTTTCGACCCATGTTTATCGGAATTTCTTGTCCAGGATTAAATTATCTTTCAAATGAGGTCAAAATGATTGTAGTTTGCTCCATAGGTTTTGAAATAAACCAGTTAATAACCAATTTCAAATGTACGTAAGATATTTAATCGGCTATCGACGGTTATTTCAAAATCTATGGAGCGAACTACAATCATTTTGATCTCATTTGAAAATTCATTTTTAGTCAAAAATTTCAGTCAGATATTTATTTTATGTGTGATTGCGATATTCTGATGTAACCCTTGATAGAAAAAATTAAAAAGAATATCATTCTTTTAATATCAATTGTGGAATTTGATATAAACAAAATTTTTTATTAGTATTATGGCAAAACGTATTTATTTGAATGTAACAATTTATTTCGCTCGTATCGAATATATTACAGAATACTTTTATTATCACAAAGTAATCACAATTTAATAGTTCGTATGTAACAATATTCATTGTTAGTTATTTTGCCTGTTTGATTAATTTAATCAATTATTAATTCTTCTAACGCTATATTCTAGAAATTTTTTCCTCTCTTAATAATTTCTCTTTTACTACAACTAATTTATGGATCTATATCTTACTTCTCTTATTATGCAATTAAATATTTACCGGAAAAATTCATTTAATTTTCTATATTAAATAGAAGACAAAAAATCAATTTAGAATAATGTTTTTTTAATAATTAAATGTTGGGCTTTTGTTGGCAGCAGTCGGGAGTGATTTAAAAAAAAAATTTTTTTTAATTATTGTTTTATTTATTTTTGTTATATTATTTTTTTATTGTTTTTTTAAATAATTTTTTTTTTAATTTAATTTTTTGTTATGTTATTTTTTCTATTGTTTTTTTGTTATATTATTTTTTTCTATTGTTTTTTTGAAACACTAATAAATAATACCATAGAGAAGCCTTCTCTCTCACAATACTAATTATTGACACTTTGATATATGACAGGTTGAGGTTATGTGTAATGTTTATTCCCACCATTATCACTTCGAGATGTCCTCAGTAAGTTACTAAAGTTCCCTATGCAGATGCTCAGAACGAATCTTATTGGTGAATCATTTTGCTTCTTAGATACACTCGGCAGCCAATGAGAGGACGCGTAGACGAGAC